AGTATTCGAGGCTCCGTGTCACTGTAGCTTACCGGTGGCAGGGCTGGTGGCCAGGCTGGCTGGGCTTTATACTCTTGCCCCAGGCCCCTGGACACAACCGACAGATCTCTGGCTGCCCTGGAAGGCCGAAGAGCAGTGAGCAAGGCTGTGTAGGGTTTTCCTTCTGCCTGGAGCCTGCTCAGCACCTGCCCAAGGATCTTATCTTGGCCAGCGAGGGCTTCCTTGTGAGCCCCCAAGTCACTGCCAGCAGCTGAGGGTATGTACACGAGGAGCAGTACAGGGTGGGTGGTGTTCACCGTCAGCTCTCTCAGGGATGCCTGGTCCACATGAAGAGGTCCGGTACCCAACTTCTGGGTCAGGTAAGAGGTCAGGGTGGCAGCTGCAGACCAGCCCACCGCTGGCAGCACCAAGGAGGAGGGGGCCCTTTCCAGGACCTCCTGCAGGTTGGGGAAGGGACTCTCGGGCTTGTCGCCGAGCACCTCACCGAAAGCAGTAAAATCCTCCAGTCTCAGCTTTTCCTGCAGGATCAGCAGTACAGTCTGGGGGCCCTTCTCCAGAATGGGGTCCAGGCAGGTGTAAAGTTCAGGACGGGTGTAGATGTGACCTTCATAAGGGTTTTCCATGGAGGCCCGCAAACCCGGGGAACTGGACCACAGCAACAGGGGTACTTGAGGATCCGAGGCTTCCGATCGCGGTGCCAGAAGCAGCAACTGCAGCAGCAGCAGCCCCCGGAGGAACCTGATCCGCCGACGCCCAGGGCTGCCGCAAGGCTGCCACAGCACCGCTGCCCCGGTCATTCTCTCGGCATCTGCAGCTTCTGCCCGCCGCCGCCGCCGCCGCCGTTACCGCAGTCCCCGCACAGTGCGCAGCCTCCACAGCCTACTGCAGCGGAGATGATATTGGCAGAACTCGGTCCTGTATCAGAGGGCGTGGCTGCGCTGCCTAGATTTCCCTCCTATCGCAGCCCTGGGAATGGGGGAGGGGGGGAAAGCAGCCGAGTCTAAGCTGGAAGGAGGAGGCAAGGGTGGGAGAGCATCAGAAAGAAGAAACAGCTGGCCTTTCCACATATCCCTCCAGCATTGAATGGCTCCTCTCTCTCTCTCTCTCTGTATGTAAACCTCAGATGTGCTTTTATTTTTTATTTTCATATTTTTATTTTATTATATTCTTTTATTATTAGGGATGTAGAATATATTTTCATTCAGTCATTTCGAGTTTGTAATTTTTCACCCCTTCCTCACCTCCCTCATTCTACATCTGAAGAAACTGAGTCCCAAAGAGGTGATTTGCCCAGGGCTGCCCAGATACAGGGAAGTCATACTCTGACTTCACACTAAGAGCTCTTTCAATTGCACAGGGTTGCCTTTCCATGGGACATTGTTTGACAATGAAAAGGAGGCAGGCAAAGGACAAAGTCCTAGGAATAGTCATTAGAAGCATCAAATGATATCAAAATATGTGTTGCATTTCCCAGTAAAAATAGGTTGTTACAGGTTATCATATAATTATATACATTATAATTGTATGTTGTTAAATAACATGGTATATACTGTGTAATTAATTATTTTCAAATGACAAAAATAATGGTATTTCTATAGCTCTTTAAGATTTGCAAACTGCGCTGAATGAAGCTCACAACAACCCTGTGAGGTAGGTATTATTACCACCATTTTACAGATAAGGAAAATGAGACAGAGAGATTAAGTGATTTGCCCTGGGTCACACAGCCACCAGGTAGGTTTTGAACCCATGACTTCCTGACTACAAGCAACCAGCTGCCTTGATATGGAATATAAGTATTATATCGTAATTATATACAATGATAAGAATAAATGGCATAGATATATAAATAGGTATAAAGAAGTGGCATCTGTATCTATAGAGAGGATCACGATGATAATAAATAATAATTTCATTTTTCAAAGATTCAGAATGTTCCCCTTCACTGATAGCCATCAGGACATTTCTATGCCTTAGTAAAGACAGCATGGCATGATGAATAGCAAGTTGGGATTAGATTCTGGATAACCTCTGGGTTCAAATCTTCTCTTCGATTTTTTTTCTATCAGTGTTACCCTACATCAATTGGTCAACAAACATTTATTAAATGCGTATTATGTGCCAGGCACATAATAGGGGATACATATAACTGGAGATACAAAGAAAGGACTTTCTACCTACCCTCCTTCTCCCCCATAACAACAACCACAACCAGATTCTGCCCTCAAGGAGCTCCCAGTCTAATGGAGAAGACAACATGGAAACAACTATGTGTAAACAAGCTATATACAGGATAAACTGGAGACAAATAACTGAGGGAAGGCATCAGTATTAAGGGGGACCTTGTAGGAGGTGAAATTTTAGTTGGGACTTGAAGGAAGCCAGGAAAACCAGGAGGCAGACATGAGAAGGGAGAGCATTCCAGGCATGGGGACAGCAGTGAAAATGTCCAATTGGGAGATGAAATGTCTTGTGTGAGGAACAGCAAGGAGGTCAGAGCCATTGGATTCAAGAGTAGGGGTTAGAGGAGTAAGGTGTAAGAAGACTTGAAAAGTAGGAGAGGGCCAGGTTATGAAGGGCTTTGAATGTCAAACAGATGATTTTCTATTTGATCCTGTAGGTGATAGGGAGCCACTGAAGTTTATTGAATGGGGAAGGGTGGTGGTGGTGGTGGTGGTGATATGCTGAGACCTGTTTTTTAGGAAAATCAGTTTGACAGCTGAGTGGAGGTTGGACTGGAGTGGAAGCCAACCAGCTGGCTTGTTGTAGTAGCCCAGTAATAAGGTAAGGGTGTGGCAATGTCAAAGGACAGAAGAGGATGAATGGGAGGGATGTCAGGAAGGTAGAATCATAGGACCTGGCAATAGGTTCAATATGGGAAGGTGAGAGAGAGTGAGGAATTCAGGATGATATCCATATTGTGAGCCTGAGTAATTGTAAGGGTGGACAGTAATCGTGAAGTCAGGAAGAGGGAAAGGTTTTGGAAGGAAAGATAATGAGTTCAGTTTTGGATATTTTTTAAGTTTAAGATGACTGTGGGAGTTAATTCATGGTGTTCAAGAAGCATTTAGAGATGGAAGACTGCAAATTAAGGCTGGACAAATAGATCTGAGAATTCTCTGTATACACATAATTGAATCCATGGGAATGGATGAGATCATCTATTGAAATAATATAGAGGGAGTATAGTTTAGAGAGAGGAGAAGAGAGAAGACAGACCGGGACAGAGCCTTGGAGGTCACCCAAGGTTAGGTGGGAGTGACCTGGGTGAAGATCAGCAAAGAAGGCTAAGGAGCCTTCAGACAAGTAGGAGGAGAACCAGGAGAAAAGAGTGTCTCACAAGGGGTGATTGACAACATCAAAGGCTGCAAAGAAGTCAAGAAAGATGAAGACTCAGAAAAGACTGTGAAATTTAGCAATTAAAGGATCACTGGAATTGTGGAAAGAGTAGTTTCTTTTTTCTTTTTCTTTTTGGGTGAGGCAATTGAGGTTAAGTGACTTGCCCAGGGTTACACAGCTAGTTAAGTGTTAAGTGTCTGAGGTCAAATTTGAACTCAGGTCCTCCGAATTCCAAGGCTGGAGCTCTATGCACTTCATGAAAGAGTAGTTTCAATGGCAAATATGATATCCTTTATTTGACATCCAAAGCTCTTCACATCCTGGACCTATCCTGCTTTTTCTCCTTACATTCTGCTCCCTTCCACAAGCTCTAAAGTCAGCCATACTGACCTCCTTCCATTTCTTCACACAGGACACTCCATTTCCCATCTCAAAGCCTTTGCACTGGCTGGGCCTCATCCCTTCTCACTTCCTCCTCTACCCAAGGGCAACCTTCTTCAGTAGACCTTTCTTCTCCCCCTAAGCTGCTAGAACCTTCCCTCTAAGGCTAACAATCCATTCTGTACTTATCTTTTGTGATCCTGTTTATTTACGTGTTGTTTTCCTTATTAGAATGTAAGCTCTTTGAGGACAGGGCTCTTTTCGCTTTTCTTTGTATCCCAGGGATTAGGGCTGCACTTGGAGTTTAGTAAGGGGGTAATAATTCCTTATTGATTGATGGATACCTATTAAATGAGAGGAGAGGATTTGGGACTGCTAAAAGGATGGGTCCTTGGTGTCACAAGTGGTGGGTGGTTGTTGGTAAAGATGGAGAAAGGCTCTGGAAGTGTGGTGATAGGGTTAAATGTGTCACAGGATGTTTCTGGCATCCTAGAGACAAGATAGAAAGAAGAGAAAATATGAAAAATAGCAACAGCAACCAACTCTGGGGGACTCTGAGGCATTTTGGAAAAAGAGGAAAGTGTAAACAGGCCTGGGGCAGATTAGTGACTTTCCAAGGCAGCAGTAAGCCTTTATATCAGCCTCAGCAGAAATATGAAGGGAACAAACCTTGTGATTAAGGGAAGACAGCAGGGCTGCTCAGACATTTAACCGTGGCCAGAATCCTAAGTGTGTGGAAAAGCCTAAATGAGAAGAAGAAGGGAGGGAGAAGGAGAGGGAGAGGGGGAGGGGGAGGGCGAGGGCGAGACACAGAGAGAGAATGGGGGATGGAGGGGAAAAGAGTTTTTAAAAAGAGAGGAAGGGATAAATTGGGGAGAGGGAAAAGGAGTGTAGGAAGGGGTAATGGGAGAGGAGAGGAGAAAGGGAGGGCAGAATAGAGGGAGAGGGGAGGGGGAGGAGAAGTAAAAGAGAGGAAGGAGGGAAGGGAGGGGAAGGGGAAGTAAAGGGGAAAGAGGGATGGAAGGGTGGGAGAAGTCTGGTTGGAGGAGGAGGTGGGTGGCTGGGCGGTGCAATATGGAACTCTCCCCTAAGAAGAGATAAGAAAAGCGGTGGAGGATGCCGCCCGAGTCCTACAAAGGAGAGGCGGAGACTGGTGTCCGCTAGGGGAGGAGCGGGGGTGTGTAAACGCCCCCTAGGCGGGGCCAGACCCGGAAACAGGCGGGTTGATCCCCGGGGTCAGCGGAGTGAGCCTCTCACCCCGGGTCGGCCAGGGAAGGACCATGGAGGAGGCTCAGCGGGAGCTCTTGCAGCAGAACCGCTTGCGCCTGGTGAGGGAGCTGCGGGTAGAGCCGCTCTGGGATCTGATGCTGGCCCAGGAGCTGTTCACTCGCGACATGATCGAGGACATACAGGTGGGGAGGAGCTTTGGCTTTCCTTCCTAGGCACCCCTAGGGAGCAGCGGAGCTGGGAGGGAGCCTGGAACAGGGGATGCCGGAGCACAGAACAGAGAGCTGGGAGGGAGCCTGGAACAGGGGATGTTGGAGCGCAGAACTGAGAGCCAAGAGGGAGTCTGGAAACTGAAATGTTGGAAAAAAAATTCAGAGGAGTTTAGAACCAGAATATCAGTTGAAAAGGGCTTTAGAACTTAGACTATCGGAGCTGAAAGGGATTTAGAACAGAGAATGCCAGAGCTGGGAGGGCCCTTAGAACGCAGAATGTCAGACCTGGGAGGGTCCTTAGAACACAGAATGTGGGAGCTGGAAGGACTCTTAATCTTAACTTTTTGGTCTCAGGACCTGTGTACACTCTTAAAAATTATTAAGGATCCCCTTAAGAGCTTTTGTTTATGTGGGTTATATCTATTGATATTTAGTATATTAGAAATTAAAACATCTTAGTATAATTATGAAACGAGTTTTGATCTTATAGTCCCCTAAAAGGCTCTCTGGGATCTCTAGACTTGAAAAACCACTGATCTAGTCCAACTCTCTTTGTTTACACAGTGAGATTTAGAGAGGGGAAGTGATCTTTGTGAGGAACACTGACTCCCCAGACCACTGTGTCACACTGCCTTGCTCCAGCCTTGTCCAACGCAGATCCCCCAGGTCCTAGAATAAGCATCTCACATTTGTTTTGCTCCTTTCCTATGTCCTCTCACTTCCCCTTTCCTCACCTACTATGACTGAGACTTCCTGAGTCCCACATCACTAGCGGTACTTTAAGGCACTCTCCACAAAACTGTGTGGAGCAGGTAGTGCCAATGTTGACCTTCCCCTTTTATGGATGAGGAAAGAGACCTAGAGAGGCGAAGAAAGACACTTGGGATCCTAAGATAGAGAGCTGGACTTAGAAACCAACCCCATCATTTAACAGACAAGGAAACTGAGGCTCAGAGAAATCGATTGACTTCCTGTTCAGAGGGCTGGAATGTAGAAGCTGGGGAACTCTTGATACCAATTCAAGGTTCATTGTGCTTTCCATTAGACCATCCTCCCTTTCTTATGATTGAGGGCACATATATGAAAAAACTTTCTCCATATCAACCAAATGCAGGCTTTAGCATTCAAAAACAATTTTTTTTCCTCCAAAAAATATTGCTTTAACTAGTAAATAAACTCGTCACTGTGTGTTTTCCTAAAGTCATTACTACTATCCCCATGCTCTTTTGGTGCTTTTGATGGGGCACTAATGATGGACCCCTAAAAGGCCCTGGACATCCCCACATGGCCCAGTCCCTGGCGTTTGCCCATCACACATCCCAGTCAATAATCCTTTTAACTGCCCTTTCCTTGTGGCCCTCATTGTCTGCACCTGGCCCACCCCAGGCTGCTTGTTACTCCTTAATGCCATCTAGACCCCTTTCTCTGTTAACCTCCCAGATCACCCCAGGCTACTTGCCACACCTAGATCCCATCTAGATCTTCCCACAGTCTTTCTGTATAAAAAGGTTGACCTTGCCCCCATTAAATTGCTCAGATTCTTAAAATCTGGCCTGCTTGTCACAAATATGGCAAACTCAGTAGGAATCTTGCCCACCCCAGTCCGTGTTTTAATAAACTACTTGGACTGAAAGAAGACTTGAGGGATCAAATTCTTTCAAGGCAGACCCATGCCCTTTTCTCTTGCATTTTGGTGTTCCCAAGACCCCTAGACTGTAATACTTTCATATTTGTTACAAAGAGACACCATATGGTGGGAGATTCCACGATTCGGAGCTGAAAGGGACCTTCAATATCATCTAGTATAAATCATTTTATAGAGGGGGAAACTGAGGCTCAGAGACAGGGAAGGGACACAGCTAGGATTCAAACTCCAAATACAATGAGTGCCCTTACTACTATACTGAGCTGTGTTACTACCAGTTTCATTTTGGAATCAGGAGAGACCTGGGTTCATTCCTGCCTCTGACACTAGCCATGTGACAATTGGGAAGAATTTAATTTTTTTGAGCCTCAGTTTCTTTCTCTGATGTTGAATTGGTTGGAGCCTGGTTCCCCAGGTTTACATCCTGTATTCTTTCTCACCTTCTCATGTCCAACTTGTTGCCAAAGGCACGAGCCACTCTCAAGCCCTTGGAAGTCACAACTGAACTTTCTGAAATTTTCAGGGTTCTTTTCTTTTATTCTTTTATATTTTATATTATATTTATCACATTGTTTAGATTATTGTATAATAGTATATGGTAAAGTATAATATATCATTATTACTATTATATTTTATTATATTGTGTTTATTTTGTAAATTATTCTCCTGATTCTGCTTACTTTGCTCATCCAAGTCTTCTCTAGTCTATGAATTTCTTCTAACTCACCATGTTCCATGGTGTAATAATATTCTGTTACATTCGTGTATTACATTTACAGTTTTTTAAGCTGGTCCCCACTTAACAGATGCTCTTTTTCCTTCTCGTTCGTTGACATTATAAAAGTGCTGCTAGAAATCATCTTTGTGTATATACTGCCTTTCCTTCTGTCTTGACTTCCTTGGGAAATAGTCACATTAATGGTTTTGCTGGGTCAAACAATGTGTATGAGTGACCTTTTTTGCATAATTCCAAATTCTTTTCCAGACTGGTTGGGCCAGTCTATAATTCCACTGACACTGCATTAGTGTATCTGTTGTTCCACAGCCTCTCCAGCATTTACCATTAAATAGTAAATGTCTTGTTATCTTTGCCAGCCTGAATGAGGTGAGGACAAGCCTCAGAGTTGTTTTAATTTCTCTTATTATTAGTGAATTGGGCCATTTTTATTTATATTTGTTTTTTACATTTTATTTGTTTTATCTCTTTAAAACAATCAATTATTTCATTGTTTTTAGTTTTCGACATTCACTTTTATAAGATTTGAATTCTGAATTCCTCCCCCTCACTCCACATAATTGAGGAAGATAAAATATTATTAAAATTTTAAAAAAATGAGTGCAGTTTACACAGTCCTGGCAAGTTGGGAAAGGGAGGAAAAGTGGAACTCACCAGGTAATTGAATGATATGTCTCCTTTCTATGCATTTTTCCAATAGAGGCTGGTACTCGGAGAGACCAGGCTAGGCAGTTGATAACAGATCTTCAGACACGAGGGAAGCGTGCCCTTCCCATATTCATCTCTTGCCTGGAAGATACCGGCCAATGGGCTCTGGCAACTCTCCTCCGTGAAAGTAATTCAACCCAGCAACTGGACCCAATTGACATCAAACCAATTGAAATGGTCAGATCTGGAGAATCCAGCAGTACTTGTAAGTATTGAAAGATGGGCTAGTATAGCTGCTTAATATCAGGGCGTGCCAGTTAGGACCGTGGGTTCCCTGAGATCCAGAGGCAACTAGGTGGTGCCGTAGTGCACCGAGCACTGGACCTGGAGTCAGGAAACCCTGAGTTCAGATAGCTGTATGACCTTGTCAGTCACTTAACCTTGGTCAGCTCAGTTTTCTTATCTGTTAATGGGGATAACAATAGCACCTACCTCCCAGGGTTATTGGAGTGGATCAAATGAAATAATATTTGTAAAGCCCATTGCAAACTATGAAGCATTATATAAATAACAGCTGTTCTTATCCAGAACTCGATATAACTTACACTCTTGATCTTGGGATGTAGAGAGAATGAATAGGATATGGCCGTTCAGTACTTTTTTTTTTTAAACAATTTAATCTTATTGAATCCTTTATGATTTCTCTTTCCTGTTTACTTTTTTTCTTTTTGCTTTTTGGTGAGGCAGTTGGGGTTAAGTGACTTGCCCAGAGTCACACAGTTAGTAAGTGTCAAGTGTCTGAGACTGGATTTGAGTGGGTCCTGCTTATTCCAGGGCCGGTGATCTATCCTAGCTGGCCCCTCGTTGAGTACTTTTAAGGTTGTCTATCCTTGTTTTGCTGTGATCCTGGTGAAGCACGCTTAGGGAAGTTAGGTTTTGAACATGCAGTGTTTTTATCAAACCTGTGGAATCATAAATGTTAAAAATTGGTAAGAACTTCAGAGGTCAACTAGTTTGACCTGACTCATCCATGTTGTATGAAATGCAGACCCACAGAATCTCAGGCAGCTAGGTGGTGTTAATAGATAAGAGTGCTGGGTCTGGAGTCTGGAAGCCCTGGGTTCAAATAGCTGTATGACCCTGGGCAAGTCACTTGACCTCTGTTTCCCTCAATTTCCTCATCTGTAAAATACCTGTCTCCCAGGGTTATTGTGAGGATCCATTGAGATAGTAATTGTAAAGCGCTGAGTACCACACAGTAGGTACTATGTAAATGCTTATTCCCCTTCATAGTAGAAAGGGCCCTCACAGACCACATATTCCAACCTCCTTAAGAATGTCTTCCACAGTTACCTGCCAACTGGAGGTATTACCTTCCACAGTTACCTGATTTTGTGCTTGGCCATCCAAAACCCTCAGCATCCTTAAAGAATTTGGGTAGTATCTTAGCACTAGGTCTTAGCACAGAGGAAGAATTTACTATATGTTTGTGGGCTCGTTGGCTAGTGTCCTTGAAACTGCAGTGGAATTTCGTAGGGACTCAAGAGGGTCACTGCTTACCCATTTGGGTTCTTAAGGCTGGGGTCAGCATTAAGGAGTCAATTAAGAGTGAAGCAAATAGCTTTGTATTCTGGCCAGCTGAGGCAGGTAGCATGGCGGACAGTAGTCTACCTCAAGTGTAACATAAGACGCAGGGGTGGGCAACCTGCGACCCTCTAGGTCCTCAAGTGTGACCCTGTGAACCCAAATTTGGATTCCATCAAAGGGCCACACTTGAGGACCTAGAGGGCCACATGTGGCCTTGAGGCTGCAGGTTGCCCACCCCTGCATAAGAGTTTCCTTATATATAGATTCTTAGGGTAGCATTCATAAGTTAAACATTATTCAAAGTAAAATTGTGTGAAATGAAGAAAAGAAAGATGGCTATTAAAACACAGATTAAAAAAAAAGAATAGTATATTTGTTGGAGAAAAATGTATATTCTTAGCTATAAGAGATAGACAAGGGATTTATCATCAGAATATAGCTTAAAACAAAGAAATCTACCCTGTCAGAATTAGAACCCAGGAATTTAAATTGGTGGTTTTCTGTCCTTTTCTTCAACGTTTTACCTCCACTTTTGTATAAGCTCTCAAGACTTGGTTTGAAATGCTGACAGGTTTTCATGGCAGGACAAGATTTAGAGCTGAGAGGGACCTTGGAGATCCTTTGGTCTCACCCTCTCATCTTGCATCATCCTTGGGCCCTCTGCCTCATTCTCCCTCTCCCCTTCTCACTTTTTATCCCCCATCCACTTTATCCATTTATTTATTTTATTTTGCTGGTTCCTGATGGATGACCTACCAAATCATTGATTTCAGTGCAGAGCACACTGACTCTTGTGTCTCCGGACCAGGGTTCACCGCTGTCATCTGACCCTCACTAGATTGGGGTCCTTAGATAAATCACTTCACCTCACTGGCCTCACTTTTGCCATTTGTAAAACAAGGTGGTTGATGGCCCTGAGGTTCCTTCTAGCCCTATTCTTAGGATCCTTTATCCTTTGATGTACCACAATGGTTGCTTTGGTCCAGTGGTGCTTTGGGGTAGATGGGTGGGGAATAGGTCTATGTTTATTTTTAAATTAAATTTCCCTTTTTTTATTATGAAATTAACAAACATCAACAAACATGAACCTTTCCATATGCAAAGAATGGGGGAAAATTGATTGTCTATGAAACTTTGAGTCTCAGAAATAGGCCTTTTTTCAGAAATGAATGAACAGCTTCTCTTCCAGGTATGAAGCTTCCCACGAGATCACTGGTCCCAGGCTCCCACACCAGCAAGGAAGAAGACCCAGAGGCATCATACTTGGATGTAGCGCAGGGTATGTGTGGCTCAGTTCTTACCTGTGCTCAGTGTAACTTCTCTGTGCCATTAAAATTAATGTTCTTTTTAAAGCATCAAAAGTTTGTTACTCTGGATGAAAATCTTTTCCAATAGATGCCATAGTTCCTGGTCTCCTGCTCTGCCTTCTTCTAAAGTTGGCTTTTGTTTTTACATCAATTTCTGGATGTACTCCTGCTACCCTTCCTCACTGAGCTCCCCTTGTAATCAAGGAAAAACACCACAACTAACAGCTTTCTTCACTTTCCTGGCATTTCCTGAGGGAACCTGGGAGTTAGCCTCTTGTCCTGATTTATTCACTTCTGTAGAAGAAAAACTCTGCACTCTTCATTTTAGCCAAAGTTGGTCAGAGATAATTTATTAATGAATCAGCATTCCTGCTTGGAGAGCAATACCTGTAGGCAGTGGCCCTGCTAAATGGAAATCTTGATCCCTCAAGTGAATTCCCCTTACATTTGTAATAATTCTAAAACAGAAGACAAAATTCTATGGCAGAGTGAAACAAAGTGTACAATTTAAGCTCAGCTTTTTTGGATGAATTTAAATAGAATAATAATAATGTTAATGTTGGCACATCCTTTGGAGAAATATCTTCCTGAAGCCCTTTTTAGCTACTGGCCTTTCAATCTTGTCAAAGGTGAAAAAGAGATTCTTTTCTAGATTGGAATAAACCAGAGACTTTCAAAATTTTTGGTCTCAGGGTCCATTTACCCTCTTAAAAATTATTGAAGACCACCACCCAAAGAGCTTTTGTTGATGTGGGTTTGATCTGTCAATATTTGCCATATTAGAAATTAAAACTTAATATTTTCTTATTAATTCAGTTAAAAATAAATGTGTATACCCATTATATGTTAACATGAATACATTTTGATGAAAAATAACTATATTTTTCAAAAAATAGTGAGATGAGTGCATTGTTTTCCATAGTTTTGAAATCTCTTTAATGTCTGGCTTAACAGAAGACAGCTGGACTCTCAGATTTGTTTCTGCATTCAGTCTCTTGTAACATGTTGTTTTCATTGAAATATTTCAGGAAAATGTGGCCTCACAGAGAAACAGTTAGAAAAGGGAAGAGAATTTTCAGAGGCAAATAGCATCTTAGTATTATTATGAAAATAATTTGGACCTTGCAGATCTCCTGAAAGGGTACTGGACACCTCCACTGTCAATGGACCACTCTTTGAGAACCTAGATTAAACAATGACACCTCCACCCTTAATCTGAGCACCACAAATAAGCCTGAGTCTCTTAGTTTTAGAGAATCCAGTTCCCTTCTTGGAAGTGAATACATTATTTCAATGAAGACTGATTAGGTCTTTGATCCAAGGGAGACCAAGGCCTTCTGGGACTCTGGCATAATATTATTTCTTGATATTTCAGAACACAGCTGAGGCTTAGCTTGTAAGCTCCTTAGGAATAGGGTTTGTTTCATTCTTTGCATTTATACCTCCCAGGGCCTGGCCCTGTGCCTAGCTTAAGAAATTTTTGTTGATTCATGTATTTCTTTCCCTCCCACCAGGAAAAAGCTAGACTGTGTTCCTTTCTCATTTATGCCAGGGTCATTTTGTTGCTAGAACCATCCAAGGCCCTGAAAGAAGGACAGATGTATGTGTAGAGATGCATCCTGGTATCCTGGAAAGAGTGCTGAACCAGAGAATAGATGACCCAGGTACCAGTTCTACCTCGGACATTTACCGGTGCCAGTAAGCCAGACAGAACCGTGAAATGAGCTGGCGAGATTTTGCTAGCTAATAAGAGAAGACAGAATCAGATTTCTCTGAACATTTTTCCAGTGGCACAAAGCATGGAGAAAGACTTTAATGGCTTCTGGTTGATTATGACTCCATCAACAAGGAAAAGACATGAAACAATGATGAACTATTTTGAGGGTTTGGGGTCATTAAACTAGAACAGAGAAGAGAACTAGTTCCCAGAAGATTTTACTTCAAAACCCAGCACCTCAAAGGAAACATTCTTTGTTCCCACTTCAGTTCCTATTTCATGTCATTCGGGAGCCATCTCTAGGTATCCTGATCTATATCTTGCCACTGGACCTGGATGGCTCTGGAGGAGAAAGTGAGGCTGGTGACTTTGCACGTAGATCCAACGTACTTGCGAGTCATGGCATCATCTTCCTCGTGTCATGGTTCTCTTTGAGAAAGAAGGGCAAACAACAACAGCAGCGTGTTATTCATAAAGCAGGAAAAACAAAAACAGTCCCAAATGTCGGTATTCAGGCAAAACAGATTCCTCCATTGGCCACGTCCGAAGATCTGTGCCTCAGTCTGCCTTCTGATTCCATAGGGTCTCTTTCAGGAGGTGGTTAGTGTGTTTCCTCATGAGCCCTCATTGCATTGGTAACTCTTTCAGATTGCTTATCTTTACGATATGGCTGTTACTGTATCAGTTGTTCTTCTGGTTCAACTTTGCATCCGTTCATGCAATTCTTCCCAGGCTTTTCTCAAACCAGCCACATCACAAAGTTTGCCATTTCTTAAAAGAAAGGAAGTGAATACCAAAAAAGCAAAAAAAAAAAAAAAGAATAAAAAGGAAGTGAATCACAGGCACCTAGTCTGCTAGTGATGGTCACCTGGAGCCTACGTCAGCCGCTGTGGGATTGGATGGAACTCTGTCCTCTTTCCCTGCCGCCTTCATTTACATCATGGCCCCCATTATGTGTATTGTTCATTTGGTCCTGATTTCTTTGCTCCTTATCCATTCATACAAATCTTCCCATGTTTCTCTGAGTTCCTTGTCTGCACTATTTCATACTGTCATTGTTCAGTCATTTTTAGTTGTGTCCAACTCTTTATGATCCCATTTGGGGTTTTCTTGGTAAAAATATTAGAGTGGTTTGCCATTTCCTTCTCCAGCTCATTTATTTCTTATAGCGCAGTGATATTTCATTATATTCCTAGACCATGAGTTTGTTCAGTGACCACATCTTTGGTATTGTGTTCACTTTGGGGACAGCACGTTTTAGGAAGGATATACATACACTTGAGAACATCCCATGGAGAGTAACCAGGGTGATGGGGAGATGGTGACATGTGTGATAACTGTGTTCAGATATTTGAAGGACTGTGTTGCTTGAGACAGATGAGAGATGTTATGTTTGATCTCTGAGGGCAGAACTGGGAGTGAGAGTTAAATATAGACATCTGTTAAGACCTGCTACGTGCCAGGCACTGTGCTAAGCCCTGGGGATACAGAAAAGGCAAAAGCATGTGTTGGAACTCACAATCTAATGGGGGCGACAACATGCAAACAAGCTATAAGCAGGAGAAGCTGGGTGGGGGGGATATTTTTTCAGTTACAGGTTGGGGAGGATGGTCACTAATGTCCTTTCCTGCTTGGAGATTCTTGGGTTCTGACTCTGCTGGATTTGTTTTTAGCTTCTTGCTCTTACAAAATAGTCCTACTGTGAATGTGTTAGCGCTTGTGGGATTATTCTTTCTATTCATACATCCGGTTTTCTTTGATGCTTAACCTAGGTGCTGCGGGGCCTGTACAAGCCAGATGTTGGAGAAACTTTGGTGTGGTGAGTCTTCATTAAGTGGTAGCCCACTCCCCCTTCGTGTTCCTCATCAACATTGTACCAGTCCCTGCCCACAGACCTTTCCCCGTAGGGCTAATGAAAAGGCAGCCAACTTCCTCTAAGATCCCATTATTATTATCACTAGCATCATGTAAAATTTATTGATGTCTTTCATTTTTTCTACCCCCCCCTTTTCTCAAATATGTCCTCTTGTTCCACCCCCTTGAGAGGCATTCATTACACCAAAAAATAAGACTGAAAGAAAAAAATGAGCTTGGCAAAATTGACCAGTGTTCCGCACGCATGGTCTGCTACCTGTACAAAGAAAGGAATGAGGTGCATTTTATCCTTTCCTCTTGGGGTCTAAACTGGGTCATTATAGGTTTTTAAACTCAGTTTTAAAATTTAATTTATTTAAATTAATTAAATTTTTTTATCAGATGTTGTTGTTTTTCTCACTGACTCTGTCACAGTCCTTTTGTGATTTGTTTTCCTGGCTCTGCTTGCTTTATTCTACTTCAGTTCGTGTAAGACTTCCTATAGCAGCCCTGATTAGCATCACCTCACCTGGGTAGTTAGAATGACTCCTCCCAAAGGGGCATTTTCTCTTCCAGACAGTCTGGGGTTTACCTTTTGCCTCTTTCAGGTTGGACAGGTGTATACTCTGAACTCAGACCCATGTGGCTACTGCCTTATCATCAACAATGTGGACTTCCATGCTTCCTCAGGCCTTTCTGTCCGAACAGGCTCGAACATTGACTGTGAAAAGATGCAGAAACGCTTTCAAGCGCTGTATTTTGCTGTGGAGGTCAAGTGTAATCTGAGCGCGCAGGTAATGTCCTTGGTGGTCCAGCTCCCCTGGGAGAGGCCACCCTGAGCAGGGTGGCTAACCCACACACTTTCTCATTGACCTCTGTTCTCTCCAGCCAAGATCAGACACACTAAATCAATCCAAGGCTGAAGGACTGGAATGAGACAGGGAAAAATATACTGTCTGGGATATGGACCCTGGTACACTAGGAAGAGGGACTGTGTATTTTATTTGTTTTTGTGTCTCCTCCCTAGCAGGAGCTAAGGGCAGGTCAGCCTGGGAGGCAGCAGCAGCCTGGAATAGTGGATAGAGCCCTGGGCTTGGAATCAGGTAGACCTGGTTCAAATTCCACCTCTGACACTGAGTGACCTCCCCATCTCAGCTCCTCAGAGACCCTGTCTTCCTGAATTCATGCTCAGCTCAGAGGCTACCTTTTCCACAAAGTCTTCTTTTAGGAACCACTACTTGGTCTATTTCCAAAGATGATCAGGGAAAAAGAAAAGAACCTATATGTTATATGTTCTAAAATGTTTATAGTAGCCCTCTTTGTGGTGGCAGAGAACTGGAAATTGTGGGGTTGCCCATCAATTGGGGAATGGCTGAACAAGTTGTGGTATATGATTGTGATGGAATGCTACTGTGCTGTAAGAAATGATGAGCTCAGTGATTTTAGAAAAACATGGAAAGACTTACATGAAATAATGAGCAAAATGAGCAGAACCAAGAGAACATTGTATAACAGTAACAGCAATATTGTTTTAAGAATGGCTTTGAGTGAGGGGCAGCTAGGTGGCACAGTGGATAGAGCACCGGCCCTGAAGTCAGGAGGACCTGAGTTCAAATCCGGCCTCAGACCAAACACTTGACACTTATTAGCTGTGTGACCCTGGGCAAGTCACTTAACTCCAATTGCCTAAAAGCAAAAAAAAAAAAAAAAGAATGGCTTTGAGTGAATGAGTCTATTATAAATACCCAAATTAACTATAAAGGACATATGAAGAAAGACACTATCTACGTCTGGAGAAAGAACTAATAAATAGACCTATGTATAGGATAATTTTACATATACTTATCTACGTCTAATGGTAGCCATCTTTAGGATGGGGGAAGGGAGAGGGAAGAAAAAAGAAGAAAAAAGAAATGTACATGTTAATTTTGTTGTATGTTTGAAAGGAATAGCACAATTTGCAGTTTCATGTACAATCATCTTTTGTACTGTGTTATGGAAATGCTCGTTTTATTTCATTCATTAAAAATAAGATAAAAATTACAAAAAAAAAAGGCAGAATAGATAGATTACTGGACTTAAAGTCAGGGAGACCTGGATTTGAATCTTGCCTCTGATACTTATTATCTGTGGGACCATGAGCAAGTCAGTTAACCTTTGTAAACCTCAGTTTCCTCATCTGTAAATGGGAATGTTCATACCTCTCTTATAGGGCTGTTGTGATATTCAGATGAGATTGTGTACATAAAGTGCTTTTTAATTATTAAAAAGACTATATAAATGTCAGCTGTGGTCAGAAAGAGTGGTCACTTGGTGACCAGCCTTCTAAGGACAGGCTTGTCTACACTAAGCTGGGCTGATCCTCAGATGAAAGACATACAATTGTTGGGCCCAGGCTTGAAGTTTTTCCAGTTTGGCAGAACCTACTGGAGGTCTCTGGACACTGGAGTACCCATTTGACAGTCTGAGGTCACTCTCACAACCAAGATTTGAAATCGGGTCTTACTGACTTCAAGTTCAGTTGAACCATGCTGCCCTTGTGTATAGTAAATACTTCATAAAATAATTCATTAAAAAAAATAACTTGGAAGGGGCCTCAAGGGTCATCTGCCTGGTTGAAAATCCACTCTGTAATATTCCTGGGTGGCTGGCTGGTATACGGGATAGAGGACTGGGCTTAGAAATCAGGAAGACTCATCTTCATCTGTTCAAATCCAGCCTCAGACACTTCCTAGCTATGTGACTCTGGGCAAGTCACTTCACCCTGTTTGCCTCAGTTTTCCTCATCTATAAAAATGAGCTGGAGAAGGAAATGGCAAACTACTCCAGTATCTTTGCCAAGAAAATCCCAAATGGGGTCACAGAGAGTCAGACATGGCTGAAAAGGATTGAAATAATATCCCTGACAAGTAGTCATTTGGCCTTTGCTTGAATATCTCCACTGATGAGTAGCTCACTCCATCCTTGGGTAGCTCATCCCACATTTGGGTGGTTCTCATTGTTAGAAAATTTTCTTTACATTTGTTTAGTAGCCCTTTTGGGAGAAATGAAGTTAAGGTAAGAAATGGCCCTGCCCTCAAGGAGTTTATAGTCTAGTGGGGGGTTAAGGCACTAACAGATGTTTATTATAGACATTACATGATAAGGGAATCACAGATGGGTCATTTTCTGATGTTCAGTTGTTCGACTCTTCCTGACCCCATTTGAGGTTTGCAGAGATACTGGAATGGCTTGCCATTTCTTTCTCCAGCTGGTTTTTACAGATGAGGAGACTGAGGCAAACAGGGTAAAGTGACTTGCCCAGGGTCATACAGCTAGTAAATGGCTGAAGATGAATTTGAATTCGGAAGATGAGTCTTCCTGACTCCAGGTCCAGCGCCCTGTCCTCTTCGCCATCTTGCTGCTTTGAGATCTGAGTAGGGAGGTCATTCTGGACAGGGGGAAGACAAATAAATGTTTGCGAAATTAAATCAGGTGCATCCCTACAACCTATCTCCAGACGTCATACCTTGCTAGTGTTTGAAAATGATGATGATAAGAATCAGTCACTCAGTCCACAAAAGGTCTGGCATTGTGCTGGATTTGTAAAGAGAAAAGTTAAACAGTCCCTTGCCCTCAAGGAGCTTACATTCTAAGGGGGAAGATAACACATAGTTGAATAAGTATGCAAAAGATACACACACCCAAAACAAGGTCAACAATCCTGGAGGAGGTGGTGGTGGTGGTGGTGGTTGGGCAGGGAAGGCCTCATGATGGAGGGGGGGGGGCGGGGAGGCACTTGAGCCTAGTCTTGAAGGAAACCAGGTATTTCAAGAATGGAACTATGTGGTGGAAGGGCATTCCAGGTGTGAGGGACGGCCTGTGCAAAGACTCGGAGGTGGGGAGATGGGAGATGGTAATGTGTGAGGAACAGCGGATGGGTCCCGAGAGAGCACAGAGGAGTAATCTCTTATTAGACCAGAAAGGGCAGTAGCAGTTTGTGAAGAATGTGAAATGCTAGCCAGTGGAGTCTATAAAAGTTCCTTTGATGACATCTCGGAGGCTTCTGTCAGATCCGCGTGGGTCCTAGCGCGGGCAGGCACAGGACAAATGGCCCGTGGACCTCACTCCGGTTTTTCCTCTCTCCAAATTTTTGCCACTGTTGCTGGTCACACTCTGGGCTGTCCTGGCTTCTTTCTTCTGACAGCTGAGCCTGGGAGTTGTGGGGGAGGCTGTTGAAGGGAGCCCAGGCTCAGCCCTCTGACTTACAGGGGTCTTCTTGCCCACAGGCAATGGGAGCAGCCTTGCAGCAGCTGGCCAAGAGGGACCACAGTGCCCTGGACTGCTGCGTGGTGGTCATTCTGTCTCATGGCTGTCAGGTACAAACACTCCTTGGAGATGGCTGGTTCAGGCTTCTGACTTGTCTGCTTGAAGTCTTGAAGAGACACATTTATTAAGCTCCTACTGTGGGCCCAGCACTGTGCTGGGCATTGATGATACAAAGAGGAGACGGTCCCTTGCCCTCAGAGAGCTTCCTTTCTCCCGGAGAGAAACAAATGTCCACAGATAAGGAAGCACAGAGAAAGAGAAAGAGTCATTCCCAGAGGTAGAGAGCACCAAGGAGTAGGGGGATGAGAGAAGTCCTTGAGGAGGGCATGGCCCCTGAGCTGTGCTTGGAAGAAAGAGAAGGATTTTGTAGGCAGGTGTGCCTTAGGAGGGAGGGAGGGAAGGCATGGATCCCATCCCTTCTGGCCTCTGGGAGTTGTCATGGCAGGGCCCAGACGATGGGCACTTGTTCTGGGAGTCAGGAAGACCTGGGTTCAGAACTTGCCTCAGACGCTTACCAGCTGTATGACCCTGGGCAAGTCCCCTAACCTCTCTGTGCCTTCGTCCCTCCTCTGGAAGATGATGGGGCTCGATAGCCTCGTAATTTCCCTTCCAGTTCTAAAGCAGTGACCCTGTGATCCTCGGGGGGTGAACAAACCTCTTGAAGATAATGATAATCCTAAGATTTGTTTGTCTTTCATTCTCAAAGAAGACCATGAAATCCGGAAGCCGGTGCCACGTCATGCACGTGAATTGGATAGAAGTGAGGGAGGGCTATGCAGAGTCACCAGCCTCACTGTCTCCTCCACAGCCATCTGGTTCCAGTGGCCAGATATGGATCAGGAAGACTGGTGATGGCCCCCAGTCCTAAGATTTAGAGCTGGAAGGGACCTTCAGAGGTCATCTGGTCCAATCCCCTGGTTTGTTGGGTTTTTTTTTCCTTTTTTTGTTTATACAGGGTATCTCTGAAGTCTTAGGGCAGTTTTAAGCCTTAATAGCTTATTTATTGATTTTTTATTATTAAGACTTTGGGGATACCCTGTGTATGGAAACTGAGGCCCAGAGATATTAAATGACACATCCAGAGTCTAATAGCTAATAAATAGCAAAGTTGGGTTTGAGCTCAGAAACCCTGAATCCAAATCCAAAAGTCTTTCTACATCATCATCATCCTTAGCCTATGTTTCTGGGACACCTTACAGTTACAAAGATTATCCCCATTTTACAGATGAGTTTACTAAGGCAGACAGCTTTCGTCATGAACCTCCTGTAAGGTTGTTATTTGAAGGAGTGATCCCATTTTACAGGTGAGGAGACTGACTCTCCCATGGTCACCCAGCTTGATCATCTCAATTTTCAGTGCTCATGAGAAGTATTTGCCAAAAGGCCATTCTGAACAGCGTCATAGCTCAGGTACCAACATTGCTGGTAGAGGATGAAGTGAAATCAATAAGAGCCTCCCAATTAAATTAATTCATCGTAGACTGACAAAGGTAGTTGCGGTGCCTGGGACAGAGAGGCGGTTTTGGAGCCAGGAAGCCTTGAGTTCAAGTCTTGCCTCTAACCCATGTTGGCTTCATCATCCTGAGCCAATCACTAATTCCTCAGGGCCACTGGCAACTGGGTAAGAGAAATGATGGAGCAGAGGTAAATCTGCACTGGGAGATGTTGTTTCCTTACCGGGTTTGATCCACTCAAAAATGTACACTCCATACAGCAGTACCAGATAACTGTGAGAGAGCCAGCCTCCGAGCCTCCAAGAGCTGGGTTCAAATCCTGACTCAGCCACTTCCTGGCTGTGTGATCCTGGGCAAGTGATTTTACCTGTCTCAGCCTCTGTTTCCTCATCTGTAAAGTGGGAATGGTAATAATGCCTACCTCCCAGGGCTGCTGAGAGGACCAAGTGAGATCCCCGAGGTAAGGGGCTTTGCAAACCTTTCTACACTGTAGCCGCTGGCTGAGCCATGAAGTCCAACCAAAGCTGAACATGAATCCCTCTGTGACATCCCTCCAAGGGGTCTCCCAGCCTTTTCCCAAAGGCCCCTAATGAGAGGGAGCCCAAGTAGCCCAGCTCATCCTGACCCAGCTCCAGTTGTTAGGAAGTTCTCCCCGACATCCAGCCAGAAGTGACCTTTCACCCACTCTTCCCATCCACACTAGCCCCATGCTCTCAGAGGAGGGCTGAAGTCCTTGGTGGGGTCACTTCCCCTCTAGGGCCCCAGCTGTCTCATTAGTAAAACAAAGGTCTGGGCTCAATGGGGTCCGAGGCTCCTTCCAGCTCCAGGTCTCTGCTCCTGGAGGTTTTCCCCTTGGGAAGGGGCTTCACCTCTTACAGGAAGACAACGTGTGGAAGGCAAGGCAGGCAGGTTGCCTTCCTCATGGTCACAGCACAAGTCCACATCCCTGCCCCTGACAGACAGCCCTGCTCCCAAGATAAAGAGGACAAAGGTTCCCCTTCTGGGGTCACCTGGCAGGGCAGGGGAGTCCTGGTCCCTTGTGGGTTGAGTACCAAGAACCCTTGTTCTCTGTGAGGCAGCTTGGCCTGGGGGGAGAGAGCACCATACTTGGAGTCAGGAGACCTGAGTTCAGATCCTGTCTCAGGATCCTGTGGCCCTGGGCAAGACATTTAACCTCTCAGAGCCTCTGTTTCCTCACCTGTAAAATAGGGACAGTAGTACCTCATGGGGTATTTTGGGAAAGGGCTTTGGAGACCATAAAGCAGGTACGAAGAAGCATGAGCTGTTAATTTTGTTATTTTTTGTTACATTTGTTCTTATTTTCTCAGGCCAGTCATATCCAGTTTCCAGGAGCCATCTATGGCGTAGACGGAGCCTCCATTTCAGTTGAGACAATTGTGAACATCTTCAGTGGGTCCAGATGCCCCAGCCTGGGAGGGAAACCCAAGCTTTTCTTCATCCAGGCCTGTGGTGGGGGTAAGCACTTTTCCCATTCCACTGCTGTTGTCTTTTAGGACCAGGGACATGGGAAGCATTCAGCCCCAGGTGAAGGCACTAGCTTCTCAGATCTCCCTTTCCTCTCAAATCAACTCAGCAGGACTTTGCCTCACACATAGCACTCCAACCTCTCATCTCTATCCCCCCACTCCCTTTTTTTTTTAGAAATATGAAGAAAGCATTTTTCATATTATCCTTGTCTGAGTAATCTGAAGGCAAAACCCTCTCATTGATCCTTTACCTATCAAATTCCTAAATCTCCAGATCAGTTGAGGAAGGACTTTTTCCTGAAGTAATTAGGGAAGTGATCTGACAAGAGAAATAATAATAATAATAATAAATATTTTTGTAGTGCTTTGAAATTTGCAACTACAACTTGGTCCTTACAACAACCCTGTAAGGGAGGTGCTATTATTTTCCCCCATTTTTCAGATTAAGAAACTGAGGCTGAGAAGAGCTGGGAAAGCATCTGAGACTGCCTTTGAACTCTGGCTTTCCTAATTCCAAGTTAAGGGCTTTATCCACTATATCACTTACCTAGTAGCCTGTAATCTGGATTGGCCCGCCTAAGAGTAGTAGCCACTTTCCCCCATGCCCCGAAGGGATTAGGGCAATTAATGATGCACCTAAGAGAAGGGAGAATTCTCTTTGTTTCAGGTAAGGAAGTATCTGTCCCATTCACTTGTGGCCAGCTGGAGGGGGGAAAACTTGAAGGGAGGAGTGAAAGAGGGGTAGAATGGGTTTTGGAAAAAATGATCCTGTGAAGGTGAGTCAGAAGTTAAGTGTTTACTCTTACCTGAACTCTGGACCCTTGTTTGGTGGAGACTGTGAAATATACTTTAAAAAGAGAATTCTATGAATTTGGGACATCTAACGATGAGTTAGAGAGATGTCCAGGGGCATGAAGGGACTTGTGTCAGTTTGGACATTTTTCTCCCTAAAGTTTAAAAATGCTTATATTTAGAATGGAAGGAAGGAAGCAATCATTTATTAAGTTCCTACTATGTGCAAGGGGCAGTTAGATGGCACCATAATGAATAAAGCACCAGGCCTGGAGTCTGGAAGACTCATTTTCCTGAGTTCAAATCTGGCCTCAGACACTTATTAGCTCTGTGTGACCTTGGGCAAGTCACTTCCCTCTGTTTGCCTCAGTTTTGTCATCTGTAAAATGAGCTGGAGAAGGAAATGGCAAATATCTCTGCCGGGAAGACCCCAAATGAAGTTGTAAAGAGTCGGACGTGACAGAAAACCTAAACATATGCAAGGCACTGCCCTAAGTGTTTAAAAAAATAACTCCTTGGACCCTTACAACAACCCTGGGAGGTAGATGCTATTTTTATTCTCATTTTACAGTTGAGGAAACTTAGATAGTGGTAAAGTGACTTGCCTAGGGTAACTCAGCTAGTTAAGGGTCTGAGGCCAGATTTGAACTCATAGCTTCCTGACTCTATGCCCAGTGTTCTATCCACTTGCCCCTGAGCTGCCTTTAAATTCTCTAAAAGGAATAAATATTTCTTCTGGCAGACTTGTACCTATAGCACAAAGCACACAATATTACACCATTTTTATTCTATCTAGGTAACTCGCTTTTCTATGGCATCATGAATGTTTACAAAGCACCTTCCTAACACTGTTATGGTGTAGTATGTGGTACAGTGGTTGTTATCTCCATTTTACAGATGAGGAAACTGAGGCTTGGGAATAGTTCTTTTTTTTTTTCCAGAAAAAAATATTTCTGAGAAAAAAGTTTTTCTCAGGGTCACACACGCTCATAAGAGTTGGGCAGCTATGTGGTGCAGTGGATAGAGCACTGGCCCTGAAATCAGGAAGACCTGAGTTCCAAGTTCCAATTTGACCAACACTTGACACTTACTAGCTATGTGACCCTGGGCAAGTCACTTAACCCCAATTGCCTTAAAAAAAAAAAGAGTTGGCACTCAGATTGGAAGTTACCTCTTGTGATTCTAGACCCACGGCTGCTCAGTCCCTACCTATGTGGGGCTTGGAGGCTAGTAAGGGCCCTCACTATGTGGACTCCTGTGGTAGGTATGGTATAGCCCAGGGGTTGGCAGCTTTTAAAAAGTAGCAGGCTAAAGTTCTGACCTCTTTCTTAATATTTTTTTAAAAAGCAATAAATTTGATAATTGCTAGCAGAAAGAAATAATCAAATAAACACATAGAATAAGGAGTAAAATCTTAGGCAAACCCTTAACATTTAACAAGCTACTGTAGAACCGAATGAATATATAACAAATAACAAATTAGGAAAAATGTTTTTGTTCTGTGTTACTTGCTGCACCTGTTTGGAATCTCACTGCCTTTGCTTTACTTTTCTTCCTTTCTTTTTTTCTCCCCTCCCCTCCAGACACTTAACCAGCTGTGAAACCATGGGCAAGTTGCTTAACCTCTGTCTGCCTCAGTTTCCTCAACTGTAAATGGAGATAATGATAGCATTTCCCTCCTGGGGTTATTGTGAGGATCAAATGATGTCAGATTTGTAAAGAGTTCTGCAAACTTTAAATGTGATTATAACAAAGAACAAAAGAGGGAAAAATAAGTTCAGCAAAACTAGCCAAGATACCGAGATAATCAGACGTTATTGGCAGCGTTCCATACGTAGAATCTTCCACCTTTCCAAAGGAAGGAGGGGACCTTTTATAGCTTTTCTTTGAAGGTCAAGCTTGGTCATTATGATTTCACAGCCTTCCGTTTTCATTATTTTGTTGTTATTCTTTCCTCATGGAAATCGTTTTCTTGGTTCTGCTTACTTGATTTGCATCGGTTCAGATAAGTCTTCTCATGCATCTGTGTTATTTATATTCCTTGTTCCATGCAACCCAGCAGTATTTCACTACATTCATGCATTGTAATTTCTTTAGCCATCCTCCAATTCATGTTGATGCCTATTTTATTTTTCTTGGAGTCTCTACTAGCCCGTACTAGCCTCTAAGCCCCGCAAAGGTAGGGACTGAGCAGCTGTGGGCTTAGAACCACAAGAGCTAACTTCCAGTCTGAGTGCCAACACTTATGAGCTTGTGGGACCCTGAAAAAAATACTTTTTTTCTCAGAAATCTTTTTTTCCAGAAAAAAAAAATCTGAGCCTCAATTTCTTCATCTGTAAAATGGAAATAACAACCACTGTACCACCTACTATATTTTTCCTGAGAACATTCAAATTTTATTTACTTTAAATGAAATTTTAATTTTTTTCATGAATAAAAGCCTACCTTCTCTCTACCGTATTGAGAAAGAAAGTAAAACAAAATCCCCATTATAAGCATGTATATTCAAGCAAAAAATAGATTCTCATATTGGCTATGTTCAAAAACTAAATGTCTTAGTATGCGCTATGAATGCATCAGATCCTTATCAGGAGGTGAGTAGCATATTTTATTGTGAGTCCTCTGGAATCATGGAATCCTCTGGAATTTGTATTGAACAGAATCCCCAGGTTTTTCAGAACTGTTTGTTTTACGGTATTGTTGTTTTTATAAATTGTTTGCCTGGTTCTGCTCATTTTACTTTGCATCCATTCATACAAATCTTCTCTGATTTCTCTGAAACCATTCCCATCATCACTTCTTACAGCACAGTAGTATTCCATGTCCTTCATATGCCATAACTAGTTCAGCCATTCCCCAGGTGATGGGCATCTTCTTAATTTCCAATTCTTTGCCAACTTGGTACTCCTTTTAAGAGGAGCATTGCCACTGTGGGTGTGCTGGAGCCAGCTCAAATCGGCTCCCGAGAACTGATTGCTAAATTTCCAATATGAATATTTATACTTTGGATGTTGGCAAATGTTACATTTCAGGGTTTGATGATTGTCTGGTTGATGTTCTATGCTTAAGACGGTGTTGGAGAAAATTAAAATTAAACTTCAGATTGTGTCCTGGGCACATTTTTTGTTTTCCTCAGAGAGCTAATGTTTACCAGATCATTTACTGGCACAGCACTTACTGCTGCTGAATTTTTTAAAAATTAATTTATTTTGAATTATCAACGATCACTTCCATAAGCTTTTGAGTTTTACATTTTTCTCCCCCTCCCTCCCCAAGACAGTATGCAATCTGATATATACTGACTTCTTTTATGCGACTCTTTCTTCTTGCTTTCTGCAGATCAGAGAGACCATGGATTTCAGGTGTCTTCTAATACTCCTGAGGATGAGTCCCCTGGCAGTGACCCTGACAGTGACCCTGAGACAGATGCTACCCCTTTCCAAAATAACTTTGATCAACCAGATGCTGTGGCCAGCCTACCGACACCTAGTGATATCTTGGTGTCCTATTCTACATTTCCTGGTGAGAGAGCGTTAGAAGAAATCTCAGCCCTCCTTTATCATTTTGGAACTTGACTTGAAGGAAGAAATTAGGATATCAGAGTTGGAAGGGTTAGAGGTGTTAGAGTCCATCCTTTGCCATGGTCAGACAGCCAGTCAATAAGCATTTATTTCAGTTAATTGTTTTTCAGTTGTGTCCAACTGTTGGTGACCCCATTTGGGGTTTTCTTGATAGGGATGCTGGAGTGGTTTGCCCTTTCCTTCTGCAGCTCATTGTACAGATGAGGAAACTGAGGCCAACAGAGGTAAATGATTTGCCTAGGGTCACACAGCTAGTAAGTTGTCTGAGGCTGGATTTGAATTCAGGAAGACTCATCTTCCTGACTAGGCCCAGTGCTCTATGCACTGTGCCACCTAGCTGCCTTACATGTTTATTAAGTGGGTGTTGTTTGCCAGGCACTGTGTTAAGTGCTAAGGATATAAGTATGAAAAAGAAAAAAGATACTCCCTGCCCATAGAATCTAATGGGGGAACACAACATACAAAAGGAAGATGAAAAAGCAAGGAATGGGCATGGGAGAAGGTAGCGAGCTCAGGAGGATGATGGCGAAATCCCAAGGAGGGTAGCTAGGTGGGAAATGAAGGGATAACTGGCCTGGGTGTGCTCCTTAAGTGGAGGCTTGGGGAGGAGTTCCTGGCTCAGGGGCAGTGGGTGGTGAGACTACTGACAAGGTGTGAGGCCAAGGATTGATCACAAGATAATGTAATGACAGGCGGATCCCAGGGGCCTGATAGGGAATCCCAAAGGAGGGCAGCTGGGTGGGAGATGAAGAATAAAAATAATCTTGGATCAGATTTCTATAACACTTTAAAGTCTTCAGAACGCTTTTTTCTCACTTGCCCTGAGAGGTAAGGATTGCAGTTATGATTGATAAAGAAACTGAGGCTCAGAGTGGTGGCCTCCCAGCTAGGATCAAAGCCCAGGTCTCCAAAAGGCAAATCCCTCCCTCTCTGCATTGTCGCATGACTTGAGGCTTGGATCTTTTGCACAACAGTATCCCCCGAGAAGTGGTCATCTGGCCTCTACTTGAATGATGGAGAACTCACTACCCGTCACTACCGCTACTCATTCTGGTTTTTATTGTTTGTTTGTTTGTTTTGGTGGGGCAGTTGGGTTTAAGTGACTTGCCCAGGGTCACACAGCTAGTGAGTATTATGTGTCTGAGGCTGGATTTGAACTCGGTCCTCCTGAATCCAGGGCTGGTGCTCCATTCACTACACCACCTAGCTGCCCCATGTTTGTTTTGTGTTTTTTAACAGCTCTAAGAGTTAAAGCTTTCTCCAAAGTCCCTCCTTAAATTGTGCCCAAATGTCCCTCTGTGTAACTTCCACCTGTTTGTTCTAGGTCTTCCTTCTGAGGCCAAGCCAGAAGTCTAACCACCTTGTCTGCAGACTGGTCTAGGAATGAGTATCTGTGACAAGGAGAAAACTTTAGGGCAGATTCTCCCAGCTCTTGAGCAGCAGGGTGGGAAAGTGATACTCAAATGAGATTTACTGAGTTAGAGTTAGAACTTTGGACACCACAGAGAGACGGAGTTGTACTGAGCTTGGGGCATCTAGAATTCTGTTCCAGGACATCAGACTTACAGCGTACTCATAGCCCTTGTAGTTTCCATCAAGAAAGAAACAACAGTACTTAGCTCTAACTTAGCAAGAATAATTAATTAAAATAGGAAACTACAAGACGTTGAGTTTGAATAAGGTCCCTACCCCACTACCCTCCATTTGTCTGACATATTTTGTATTGCTCAGAAGTTCCTAGGTATGGTCCTGGTAATGCAGCCTATCAATTTTTCTCCTAAGGTTTTGTCTCCTGGAGGGATATCAAGAGTGGTTCATGGTACATAGAGACCTTGGATAGAATGTTGGACATGTGGGCAGATGACGAAGACTTACTGAGCATTCTTCTCATGGTGATGTCTGATTTTTTTCTCTGGGTTTCGTGGGTGGGGGCTTGAGGGAGAAGAGAATTGTGGGATGATGGCCTGAAGCAGAGGTATCAGACTCAAATGGAAACAGATCCCTGAGGGTTAGAAAACTGCAAATTAAGTCCAATCTGGGAGTTTTGCTGCTGAATTGGACACTTTAGGGTTAAATTAATGTTCTCCCAGGGACTCTGTGGAGCAGTGCTTGGCAAATTTTAAAAGCACCTCCCCCAGCCCCTTTTTTTGGGAGGCAATCAGGATTAAGTGCCTTGTCCAGGGTCATATAGCTAGTAAGTATCTGAGGCTGGATTTGAATTCATGTCCTCCTGACTCTATCCATTGCACCACCTAGCTACCCCTAAAAGCCCCTTTCAGAAGGAACATTGCTGCCTGTTCCGTTTAGAAAGGTGGGAGGAGGTCCAGGGATCCACTCACCAAGGGTGAAAGTTCCAAAACTCAATTGATTAAGTCTCTCAGAGCATGGTTTCTGGGGGTTTCTGTGGCTCAGCAGATAGCAAGAAAATGGCCCCCACACATGGGGTATGCAGCATAATCTGGGGTCAGTTAGATAGAGTGAACCACATGAGTTTCTGTTTATTTAATCACTCACTAATTCAGCTCTGCTCCTGGGTAGGAGTTCTAATGCTGAGCGTCTTCCCACATTCTCTCCAGCACTGATTGTTTCTGACTTTTGTCATCTTTGTCAAATTACTATGTGGGAGGTGAAACCTCTTAATAGTCTTAATTTGTATTTCTCTTTTTATTACTGATTTTATTAGTCTTTCATATGGAGGCTGAAAGTTTGTAATTCTTTTGAAAATCATTTATTCATGTTCTTTGACCACTTATCGATTGGGAAAGGTTTTTTGGCCTTTTTATGTTAATTTTCTATACATCATGGATATGAGTTCCTTCATGTTAGGGGCTTCACTGCCATCTGAACATGATGAAGGAGAGTTGAACAAACTCACACACATATGTAGTCTGGGTTAGAAATACATCAAATTCGTAAGGAATGTAAGCAAGGTTGGGGGTGGAAGAACAGGAGTGTTAAAAAAGGAGGGTAAAAAATAGTTGAAAGCCAGGCAGACTTCCTGATCCTTTAAATATTGTAGCCTGTGCTTTCCTCTCCTGTATAGTCAAAGCTAACTGGTTTATTAGTCTTTGAACTTCCTGCATTCTTTTTCATGATTTTCCCATATTATTCTCATTTCTCTTCCCCATTTTTCTTCCACCTCTCTTCCTTGATTTTTAAAATCTTTTTTAATTTCTTCCATGGCCTGAGACAAATTCATATTTTTCATGGAGGCTTTGGATGTAGGAGTTTTCACTTTGCTGTCTTCTGATCTTCCTTGTCACCATAGTAACTTACTACAGTCAGAATTTTTTTCTGTCGTTTGCTCATTTTTCCTGCCTATTTCTTGACTTTTAACTCTTTGTTAAAGTAGGGTTCTGCTTCCAGGGCGGAGGGCGCACTGTCCTAAGCTTCAGGGGTTTTGTGCAGCTGTTTTCAGAGATACTTCTAGGGACCTGCAAGTTTTCAGTTCTTACAAGGTGGTATGATGTAAGGAGAGATATTTACTACTCTCCTGGCCTATGCTCTGGTCTGTGAGAGACCACAAGGACTCTTTTTGGCCCTGGAACTGTGCTAAAGGTCCCCATTTCCTTGCATCTGCAAGCTCCAGTGTGCTACTGCTCCTCCTTGCCCTGGGACTGCCACCCAGGACTGTGACCTGGATCAGGGTATAGGCAAAGCAACAGAGGCCTGCCTCAGTGCCAGCAAAGAGATCCCTGTAATCTCAGGTCCAAGCATGGGCAAAGCAAGAGAATCCTGCACCAGCAAAGAGATCCCTGCAATCCATGTCTGATCAGCCACTCAATTCCTTCTCAGTCTGTGGGCCAGAAGCTCCAGAGGCAGCCACCGCCCTAGGGCTGCTCTCAGGGAATGGGGCTGGGACCCTGCACTTCTCTCACCACAGACACAGACTTTTCCTATTGACCTCTAAGTTGTCTTTGGTGTTTGTGGGTTGAGAAGTCTGGAAACTGCCACAGCTGCCTGTGATTCAGTCGTCTGAGGCCTGCTCCAGGTTCGCTGAGGTCTGCGCATGCATGCCAAACTGCGCTCCTTTCCCTGCTCAGTATGATATACCTTTCCGATCAACCATCCAGGCTGTCGTGCTTTTACTGATTCAGTCATTCCCAAGGCCCATCCTTGTTTTGCTGGGGCCTGGTCTGTGCTAGTGCGCCCTGCACTGGATAGGACTCCGCTCTCACCCTGGTACAAAGACCTTTTCTCCTGAAATTCCAAGTGGTCTTGGGCTGGAAAGCTGTTTCACCCTGTCCTTTTGTGGGTTCTGTCACTCCAGAATTTGTTTTCGGGCATTATTTAGACATCTTTGGAGGGATTTTGGGGAAAGCTCAGGCAAGTCCCTGCCTTCTCTCCGCCATCTTGGCTCTGCCCTCCATGCTTTTTCTTCAGCACAGAAGATCTCAATTTTGGCTGTGACATTCCTAAGTTGTATTTTCTACTGTCTATGATACCGACTTTGTCAGATCTATTTGAGCCATTTTCTCCATCCCTATCCCTTTTTAATTTAAAACTCTCTTAATTAGGTTCACAAGACTCCAAGTCACTTTGTTGTTATAAACCCTTTTCATGGTTGTGCCATCTCTAACCAAGAGACTATTTGTTATTCCTGTATTTTAAGCCGTGTTCCAGAAATCCAAATCCTATTCTTGGACATCATCATCTTAGCCAGCTGTTCCATCAGCAGTACTGATGAAAACATCCCCAGGACCCTGGAGGTCTTTGGTGTTTTGATTCACAACTTCATAATCCTTAGCAATTCTTTCTTGGTTTCTTTCTTGGTTTCTTGTTTTCTTGGTTTCTTTCTTGCTTTCTGGTTTCTTCCTTCCTTCCTTCCTTCCTTCCTTCCTTCCTTCCTTCCTTCCTTCCTTCCTTCCTTCCTTCCTTTTTTCCTTCCTTCCTTCCTTCCTTCCTTTCCTTCCTTCCTTCCTTCCTTCCTTCCTTCCTTCCTTCCTTCCTTCCTTCCTTCCTTCCATTCTGTGAAGCAGTTGGGTTAAGTGACTTGCCCAGGGTCACCCGTCTAGTGTCAAGTGTCTGAGGCCAGATTTGAATTCAGGTCCTCCTGACTCCAGGGCTGGTGCTCTATCTACTGCACTGGCCCTGCTTTCTTGGTTTCTTCTGGTGGTATTTTTGTTCCCGTGTGAATCATCAGAACTGGATTTTCAGGGGTCATTGTTCGCATTCTTGCTGTGTAAGGAAGTGAGAAGACAGAAATAATTTGCAGGTAAATGGAAGGAAAGGTATATAGGTTCTTCTTTTTGGGTGGATGAATGCTGGACTTGTCAGTGCTGGTTTTCACTGTGTATGCAAAGGACACAAGGAACGTCATTTTATTGGATGCACAACATCTGTGACAGAGGTTGATAGGTTGGAGAAGTTCTGTGTAAAGCTTGACAGGTCCTCCAAACCAAGAGAATTTATAGTTGATTATATATGTCGGTATAGTCATTGGGAACCCAGGGTCACCATTATGCTGTGCTTTGATCTTGGAGAAGATATCTGTACTTTTTTAAGTGACTTGCCCAGGGTCACACAGCCAGTAAGTGTTAAGTGTCTGAGGCCAGATTTAAACTCAGATCCTCCTGACTTCAAGACTGGAGCTCTATCCACTGTGCTACCTAGCTGCTCTGAGAAGGACGTCTGTGGATATACTCTGCACATAGTAGGTGCTGAATAAAATGGAATAGGGAATGACATGTGCATTTAAGTACCACTGTGTGTCAGACCCTGTGCTGAATCCTTTACAAATATTATTTCATTTGATTCTCACAACTGTGGGAAGTAGGTGCTGTTATGATCACCATTTTACAGATGAGGAAACTGAGGCAAACAGAGGTTAAATGACTTGCCTAGGGTCACACCGCTAGTATGTGTCTGAGCCCAGATTTGAACTCAGGTCTTCCTCACTCTAGGCTGGGTACTCTATCCACCGCACCACCTAGCTCCCCACATGTACACATACATGTATGTATATTTGTATACATGTATGTATAAAGAATATATATTGAATTTGAATTGGACCTGTGGTGCTAAAATTGGTTTAGGTATACCATTCCTCTTGATGAGGAGATTCCCTCTATCGATGCAGTTTGGCACTGTCTTTGCCAGTGATAGTGGCTTGGGGGCCGCCGAGAAGTTAGTGACTTGCCCAGGGTCACATAGCCAGTATGGGTCAAGGGTCAGAGGTGGGACTTGAGCTTTAGTTGCTGATTTTGAAGATCACTGACTTCACAAAGGTCCCCATCCTGGTGAGGGCCTATCTCTCCTCAGTGTCAGGCTAGTTCACAGTCCTCTATGTGCTTTTCTTTCCACAGGTGTCTAATGCAGTGTCTGCCAAAGGGACATACAAACAGATTCCTGGTTGCTTTAATTTCCTCCGGAAAAGATTTTTCTTTAAAACCAAGTGAGAATGGGTACTGCTCTTCTTTCCTCCTACCTGAAATTTTCCTTTCTTTCTGCCTGGAAGCAGCTGCAGGCAAGGGCTCTGGGCTTTCCTGCCTAGGAATGGGGAGGAGATAGCCTCCTTCTCCCTGCTCTGAATAACTCCCTCTGGTCTGCTACATGTCACTGATCCTGGAGCTATTGGAGATGGTGTCCTGGCCTTTGTCCCACCACCAGCAGCAGCAGGTCCAGTGATGGGCAGAGCTAGAGACTAAAAAGAGTGGAGGAAGAGAAGGGCCATAGATGTTTGTGCCCACCCTCATGTGGCTGGCTAGCTGGGTGACTTGGTTTCTTTGGAATTGTGGACTGCAGACACTCAAGAAAGTCTCAACTGCTCAATAAGTAAGATGGTGCCACCAGATCCTAGAAAGTGGAAATCTCTGAGCTTGAAAAAGGCTTTAGAAATTGTTTATTTTTTTCCTACTGTTTGTGGTTTTCATAAAAAAGAATTCTTTTATAAATCCTAATTCTTTGTGTATTTATTCTGCCATTTGGACTGAAAAGTATTTGCCTTCCCCTCAGTGCTAATTTTCACAAATTCTTTTCCTCGTATTTGTTATCTTGTTTTATTTCTAGAACAGCTCTGGATATGTCCAGGCTGGGTGTTCTCATCCCCATTTAACAGATGAGACAGTTAAGTTCCAGAGAAATGAAGTGACTTGGACTTTTTATGGTTGTCAGGATGCTTTCACATAAATTGACTTTTGTTCCTTACAAGACTGTGAAAGGGGAATGGAAGGGATTGTCCTTTCCTTTTTTTTTTTTTTTTGGATGAGGCAGTTGGGGTTAAGTGACTTGGCCAGGGTCACACAGCTACTGAGTGTTATGTGTCTGAGGATGGATTTGAACTCAAGTCCTCCTGACTCCAGGGCCGGTGCTCTATTCAGTGCACCACCTAGCTGCCCTCTGGGATTGTCCTTTCCATTTGATAAAGAGAGGAACCCAGAATGGAAAAGAGATGGCAGAATGGGGGGAGCTGGCACAAGAACTCAGCATTCTATCTTCTGCCTCAGGTCCTTTGTACAGGCTGTGCCTGGCTTGAAGCCAGCAAGTCTCTTAGTCAGGGCCATGTCAGGACGCATAGGTGGAATTGAGAACCTCATAGCTTGGGGTGGAGGTAAGGGATGGATCCTGGGCTCGGATCCTGCTCCCAGGTTGGCACTGTGAAAGGAGTCTGTAGAGATTCCCAGTCATGGACTACAGAAGGGAAGTCAGAACCAGAATACAACCCCGTCCCCTTGGCCTCCAATCTAGAGCTGTGCCAGGGCAGTGACATCTGACCTGAATTGGGAGATACAATAGCATCTCATTTCACTGATGTGGCAGAGGAAAGCCATAACTACCCCATCCCTGTTAGTAGGGAGCAAAGCCTGGCCTGGCACAAATTTCCAATACAGGAACTGAAACTGAAGACATAAGTAATAGAGGCAGTGTGATACTGTGGAAAGACCACAGGCTTTGGAGTCAGGGGACTTGAGTTCAAATCTTGCCTCAGATGCTTAATACCTGAGTGACCTTGGAAAAGTCATTTCCTGTGCTTCAGTTTTCTAATCTATAAAATGTAGGGATTGGACTAGTGGTTTCTGAGGTCTATTTCAGCTATAGTTTATAAGTCTTTGGTCCTATGATTTTTAAGAAATAGGTTAAAAGAATACCAAGATAAAATCTTGGAAGAGTATAATTCAGCAATATAAATAGGACTCCAGAAAAAAAAATGTGTTGGCCAAAAGGACTCCAAGAGTAGAAGGAATAAAGAGTTGAAATAAGAGATAAAGAATTAAATTAGAGCCTTTGAAAAGAGAATAGTTTAGAAGAAGAAAAACCTTATCATGGTCGTGAATATACCTAAAAATAGGATGGAGGAAAAGAACTTGAAAGTTTAGTGATATAAGAAATATGAAAATAAATACAAAAGACTGAAAAATTGGTAAACACGATGTATCTACTACCAAAAATAGTTGATCTGTAAAGCAAAATGAAGACAGCTAATTTAAGTATCATTGAACTCCTGGAAAACCATTACCAAACAAAAACCCTAGATGCCATATTTTGATCAACAATGAAAGAAAACTACCCTGAATCATTAGATCCTGAGGGCAAAGTGAAAATTGTAACTATCCACAGGTCGCTACCTGAGAGAAGTTCCAAATATAACACATCCAGAAATATGATAGCCAAATTCCAGAGTTTTCAGGTCAGAGAGGAAAAAAAAAACTGCAAGGAAGAGAGATCAAATACCAAGGAACCAGTCAGGTTCAAACAAGATTATATGGCATGTACTATAAAGAAAAGGAAAGCTTGGAATATAATACACCAAAAGGTAAAAGCTGTGCCTTGGATGCGGTGCCCACTTATCTTTGCCTTTCAGAATCCTTGTCCTACTTTAAGGCTCAGTTTATGTGCCACCCTTCTGTGAGGTCTTCTCTGATGCCTACAGTTGTTAGTACTGTCTCCCTCCTTACATTTTCCAAAGCAAACACGTGTGATCTCTCTCTTGTTCTTCCCTTTTGTATATGATATTTATTAGCTATGTGTTCCATAGCTCAAAAGTGTTGGAGTTGGGACCAGAACCTAGGTCACTCAACTTACTCCTGTGTTTCTTTTAGTTCATGGAACTTAGAACAAGAAGATACTTTAGAGATAACCTAGTCATTTTAGAGGTGCCCAGAGAGATTTAATTTGTTCAGGATCATACAGATAACAACCAGCAGAGAAGGAAATCCTCTTATACCAAAGCCAGTGCTCTTAATACTATACCATGCTTCTCCTTTGTACATAAAGAAGTACATATGTCTGAGCTTATATAGCTAGTTGCTAGTGACAGCGTCAGGACTAGAGCCTATGTGACCTAATTCCAGGTGTTGTGTTAATTCTAGTAGACTATCCACCCCTAAAACTTACTGCTTCCTGGAATACCTACTGTTATTTGAGGACTGGTTTGTCCTGTATGTAATTTTGCATTAAGACTGAGAGGAGAGCAGGTCAGAAATTATCTAAGGAAGGGTTTGTGGGGAAATGACCATGTGATAGGAGCTAGAGGAACCCAGATCCCCTGGAAATGCCCCAGGAAAATGCAAAAATGCATAATTAATTGGTAAAATAAGGAGAATCATCTATATAGTTCTTTGCTACACACAGTGATGCGCAGGACTGCCAGAATCTTGACTCAAAGTGGATAAGCCTCGGCAGATCAAAATGCATGGCACAAAGCAGTCTCAGGGCACCTGGAAAGGTCCAGTATGGGCTGGAAAGCAATGATGAAGGGGGGGCCCCAAGCGCAGTGGCAGGAGACTCAGAGGTAAAGATGGTAGTTCTGAAGCCTGGTGTGAGCCCAGTGAAGGTTGCAGCAGGTCTGGAGTGGGGCAACAGAGGGAAGGAAGCTCAGGTAGAGCCTAAAGTGGGGGTGGGGAGGAGGAGCCTAAAGTAAGAGGGAGCCTATCACAGGAGTGGTAGCAGCAGTACCTGAGTAGTGGGGAAAGGCCCTAGGCAAAACCTACCACAAGGGATGGCCCGGGTGCCCTGTGGCAAGAAAGACCCTAGAGTAGGAGCAGCCTAGAGTAGAAGGAGGTTCTAGTTGTGATCACCACACCCAGGATCAGGCAGGGTCTGATCAAATGAAATCATATGAGATAATATTTGTCATGTACTTAGCATAGTGTCTGGTACATAGTAAACATTTAATAAATGCTAGTGTCCCTCCCTCCCCGCCTTCAAGAGTGCAGGAATGCAGTCTGACTCAGTCACAGGCTCCCAACCTAGATACTGAGCCTGCTGAGGTGAGAAAACCACAGAAGGCTCCAAATATTAGTAAATACCTTAGATCAAGAGATGCCTGGGGAGCAAAGCGCTAGGAAGAGACTGACCTGACAATTTGTCCCATTAAAGACTTGAGGGGAAAAAAACCCAGACGCTTGCCACAAGGACTCTAGGACTACCTAGAAGAATTGAAACGAGATGCAAAATGGAATAGCTAGGGAAGAAAGAAGGCCAAAGAAAACTGATACTTAAGGACAGATGTATCACCACTATTATTCAATAACGTATTGGATGATAATAATGTATTATTCAATAATATATTAGATGATGTTTTATTTAATAACATATTGCTATGGCAATAAAACAAGAAAAAGGAAATTGAAGGAATAACAGGCAATGATGAAACAAAACTATTACTTTTTGCAGATGATATGATGGCACACTTAGGGAATCCGAGAGAATCAACTGAAAAACTAGTCAAAACAACAACTTTAGCAAAGTTGCAGGACATAAAATAAACTCACATAAATCATCAGCATATTATATGCTACCAATAAAACCCGGCAGAAAGAGATAAAAAGACCTAGTTGTGCAAAGATATTTTCAGCAGCTCTTTTTGTGGTAGCTAAGAATTAGAAATCAAAGGGATGCTATCAATCGGGGAATGGCTAAACAAGCTGTGGTATATGATTGTAATGGAATATTTTTGTGGTATAAGAAATGACAAGTGGGATCATTTCAGAAAAACCTGGTAAGACTTGTATGGACTGATGCATAGTGAAGTGAACAGAACCAGGAGAACATTGTACATAGTAACAGCAACATTGTGGGATGAAGAACTGTGAATGACTTAGCTATTCTCAGCAATACAATAATCTAAGACAATTCCAAAGGACTTAAAATGAAAAAAAAATGCCATCAACATCCAGAGAGAGAACTGATGAACTCTGAATACAGATTGAAGTACACTATTTTTTAATTTTATTTTTCTTCTTCTTCTTTTTTTTTTTTTGCAACATGGCTAATATGGAAATATGTTTTGCATGATTTCACATGTGTAATTGATGTCATATTGCTTGCCTTCTCAGTGGGTGTGGGAGGTGTTGGGAGGGAGAGAATTTGGAACTAAAAATTTAAAAAAAATTAAAGCAAAAGCAAAAAGAAATTGTGTGATGCTGAGAAAGGGGTGGGGGAGGGAATGAGCATTTCTTAAGTGTCTACTATGTGCCAGGCACTGTGCAAAGCACTTTATTAATATTATGTTATTTGATTCTCACAACAAACTTGGAGTTAGATGTTATTACTGTTTCCATTTTATAGTTAAGGAACCTGAGGTAGGCAAAAGTTAACTGTCTTATCCAGGGTCACAGAACTAGTAAGTATCTGAGAGCAGGTTTGAACTTATCTTCCTGACTCTAGGCCCCAGCTTTCTATCCACTACACACCTTGCTGCCTCTAGAAAAATCATTCAGCCTCTCTGAATTTCAGTTTCCTTATCTGTAAAATGGGATAACAACCTTCGTATTACCTACTCCACATGGTGGTATTAGGGAGGTGCTGCTTTGTAAACTTTCGTGATGCTATAGGAAGGTGACCTAACAATGGTGGTAGTAGTAGTAGTAGTAGTAGTAGTAGTAGTAGTAGTAGTAGTAATAAGAACAGCATTTATATAGTATTTATATAGCACTGCATTTAATTGCAAAAGCAAAAA